CAAAGACATAATTGCTCTTTAATACATAAAGTATGTGTAATATTTCTTCTAGATGTTGTAGCATTAGCCTCCTTTTTCTTATTTTTGTGCTTTGCTTCAAATCTAATGGTACTCAAATTACGAATAGGTCCAGAAAACTGAAAAATAGTGCCATAATGAGCAAAATTATGTGATTTTGGAGTAAATCTTTCACTTGGAAATAATTCCGCAAACATCATGTGAAACTCGCTAACTAATACTCGAAAAAGATTACAGGTTTCTTTTTGCAATTTTGGAGCTAAAATTAAATCCATAATTTCTCTCATTTTTAAATATAATGGCCATACTTTATCGTTTTCTGGGATAAGATCTCCTACAAGCATTGCAAACATGAAAATAAAATTGGATGATTCGCTACCAGACATTGACAATTTTTTACTTTTAATCTCATCATAAGAAATTAAAGGTGGCTTATTAGATATATTGTTGTGATAATAATCAAAGGTTTTTAACCGATCATTCAGAATATTAAGTGGAACAATGCAAGGCTTCTTCATAATGTAATGATGCAATATACATTGTATTACAAATTTGAACCATCCTTCAGGCCCATCATGTAACCAGTCAGCGGTAAAATTTTGACTTGTTTTAAAATAAAAAACTTGATCCCAAATTGATTTCTCTTTTATACCACTTTCAGCTGTATTTTTTAGCAAGACATCAGATTCATAAGTATGTTCTCTCATTCTTTTTTCAAAAAATTCTGTTTGCCACTGGTGCTTAGAAGTTTTACAAAGTCTGCAGCTGTAATGAGCATTAAAACTCTCAACAAAACCAAGAATTCCGTTTAATCCAAGATTATCCCCTAAGAGAAGACCAAGAGCAAAATAGATTCTAATTTTTTCTCCTTTGTTGGGTTCAATTTCAATTCCTTCAGTTTGTAAATAATTAAGTTCATCAATTAAAATATTGAAAATACTATGATTGTTGAATTCTATTCGATCTGAAGAGTGAAATAACATAGCAAGAAAAATATTTTCTAGGAGTGAGTTTACTTCTGGCGGAAAGCATGCAATAGAATAATACACAGCACCTAACTTTTGAATGCCAGTATGTGTTCCTAATGCATTGTTAACTTCAAAATCGTCGTAGTAAATAAAAAGGGGAAACACAATTTTATTCTGAAAATGAAACTTAATTTTATTGCGCCAAAGATCGCCTTGAACGAAATTTTCAATAATATTATTTTCTTGTAATAATGTATTAACATAAGAATTTACAGAAGAAAAAACATGAGGAAGATTAAATATTTTCTGAAGCACTACTCTCATAGGGATAAACTTGGCAAAAACTGGTACAATTTCTTTAACTATATTGCCATTATGCAATTTTTCATCTGTCCTTTGTCCAACTGTATGATCTACACTGTTAATAAAACAGCCAGTCTCTGAAAATGCTTTAAATCTTCGACATTCAGACGAGAGCTCTGAAAATGGTTCAAGCAATTGTTCGAAGCAAGATTTAATACTAACTATTGTATTTTGATTTACTCCATTATTAATCAATATATCTTTCATAATAGGTTCTATAGCCAATATCATTTGTTGCATAAGGTCTCTCGAGTCATCTAATATATTCTGAATATGGTTACGAGGCAACTGATGATTTGCATACAACTTTGCAATGTATGCAAGTACAGGTTCTTTCAATGTACGTGTAATGTCTTTTTGTTCCTTAGTACATTCATTGTTAGAATTTAGCTGTTCAGTTACATTATGAAAACTATTCTTATTCATTTCGTTCTGTGTTTCGCCACACTGAGAATTAATATTGGAAGATATTAAGGCACACTCAGTTTTTAATTTGGTTGGATATAGATGGAATGAGTTTAAATGTTTTCTATATCTCTCCCAATTTGAAAATATTCCTGAACAGCCAAACTCTGAACAACGATGTGTGTCACTTTTAAATATCTTATGAATAATATGTAAATGTACACTTAAAGCGTTCACAGTTGGTAAGTGTTTATCACATTTAAAACAAACTGGCATTTTTGCACTTTTTCACAAAAAATATAAGTCACTAAAGAAAATTATTGCATAAAAATAAACTAAAAATATTTTTAAAAATAAAATACGATATTTACGAAGTACACTTAAGACATTTAATTAGTCTTTTAACGTCTGGTTGCTGAGCTTGACGATTAACTAAGTCTTCTGGCAAATTTAAGTCAAAAAGTGTTTTTTGCAGCACAATCCATATCCGTTCACTTTGTGCAGGATATTCGCAATGCAAAGCATGATAAAATTTAAAAGCTACTTCTACAGCCCGAGTTGGAGATTCTAGCAGTATAGTTTCACCATCAATGTATACATAACTATACGTTATTGACGAAAGATCATCTCCTATTACAAAAGGAAAAGGCTGAAGAGTTAGACCTTTTTTCTTAAGATCTTCTTTCCATGATTTTATAATCTTCTCCAAATCACTAATGGTCTAAACAAAGTTTCAAAAAGTAAAATTAGAGAATCTTATTTAAAATAATTATTTTATATATATATATATGTATAATGCTAATTCAAATGTATGTATATACCTGCAAATGGAGTAAAAAGCCTTGCCTGATTTCAGCTTTATTTGGTCGCCAGTTTCCTTTAGGCACTTTTATTGGCACAACTGAAAACAAGCTTGACAATTCATATAGAATCTCAGCATCAGTGATTTTATGATCTA